AAAAGCAATACTTTTTTATGTTTTTAACAATTAAAGACTTATTTCTTATTCTATTTAGAAATAAAGAGAAGTTTTTAATCACTTTTTCATCACTACCTTAAGGTTTCTCCCTTTGAATTTCACTAAAGTTTCCACAATTAGTTTATTTTCCTTAAAAATGTAAGAAGCTTTAAATCTCATAATACCTACTATAAGAAAAAGTTAAATCATGATTCAAAGCAAATACATGCTTCAGATTATTTAAATATATTTCTGGGTTGTAAATCTCGGAGAGATGGAGTTTTTTCTTTATTTTTTTATTTATAAATAATGTAAATTACAAAAAATAAAAATTTGTTTTACTCAATTTCATTTATAAATTATGAAGATTATATTAAATAACTTGAGTGAATCAATCATAATAGATCAATTAATTTCATAATTGATTGCTCTTCAATAAATTTCCTAGACCGAAAAATATAAACTCAAGAGAATTAGAAATTTTAAAACTTGTTATTCATTATTTAATGCTTTTTATAAGCTATTAATAACTATTTTTCCTGCCTTTGGATGATTTCTATAATTTTGATTGATGAAAAATTCCAAATTAAAAAACAACAGAAATTTGCAAGAATTATCTATTTAAGTTTATATTAAAACGGCAGTTTATAAGTTAAATTAACTCAACGAATACAAAAAATCAAGTTTTTATATTTATAATAAATGAGTAGGTAAGCAAATACTAAAATAAAATTTAGACATAAGATCAAGAAGAAATAGATCTAATCTGAATATAGTGGAATTACTAAATTTGTTAATTCAAAAATATTGATAAATATCTTTAATCAGTTTTTCAAATTTAATGAATTTACATTTACTTAGAGACATAAGTAGCAAAATAAATAAATAGATTATTCAATCTTAGATAACGGCTTATTTTCCCAAAACGCTTCAGAATAATTAAGGTTGTTATTCTCCAGGATTCTTTCAGCTTGTTTTCTTTTAAATGATTTCAAATCAAATCTAAACCATTTATTAGTTTAAATTTAATTACCCAAAATAAGATATTTTCAATTAGGAAATTCAAATATTCGTTTAATTAAGTTGTATTTTATATTAAATAAAATGATACACTAAGTTTTGTAAAATAATTTTCCACAACAGATATAAGTTACTAAGGAATTTTAAGAAGAGGGTGGCTTAATACCTAATGAGAATGATGATTATATGTTAATATAAAAGAAGTTTTAGTTCAAACTGTCTGATAACAATGAAATTCTTTATGCAGTTGATGGAAGAATAATTAGAATGTAAATAAAACTTTAATTAAAGTGATTCCAATGGGGCCCAATAAATAATGACGAATTTAGAATAAATTAACCATCTACATTGGAATGGCAAGTGGGACTAGAATTTCAAAAAAATAGGAAATTGGACTGCTTAATGGAAAGACGATTATGAGGGAGTAGGAGGATTCTACAATGAAAATGGCAATAAACAAGGGATTTGGAAAGAGATGATAATTAACTTTTGGGAGTAATTATACATGAAATGATTTACAAGCTAAGCAAAAGTGTATGAGATAGGTGAATATGTAAATGGAATTAGATAAGGTGCTTGGATCTATGTGTTCGAAAACAAAAAAGATGTAAAGATTTTGTTTTCATTTAGTGGAGGAGGAATTTATAAGGAAAATGGATTAAAAAATGGTAGGGTGGTTAGAACTTCGTGAACGATTTTAAAAGTATTATTAAATTAAATCATTTTGGGTTAGCTCTAGATAAATCATTTATGAAGGGGTATTATTCAAATGGTAAAAAAGTGTGGAGCATGGAATTTCATATATAGAAGGGGAAAGGAAATCATGAAATTCACAAAGATGTAAAAAATTTTATTGAGCATCTATTTAGAGGAGGAAGGAATAATTCAAAGAGAGTTTAGAAGGATGGCGATTGGTATAGAATTAAGGTGATTACTTTAGCAAGTTCTTATTTTATTTATAAATTATTAGTCTGAGTCAAGTCATTTATGAAGGTAAATATAAATTTGGAAAAAAATATGGAAGATGGAATACTTAGTAACGGTTCTCAGAGGAGTCAAAGTTTTAATAACTGTATGTTATATATAAACCAATAAAGTGGCGGGGGAAAAAAAATTTTAACGATAATGGAATGAAATAAGGCAACCGGGTTGAGCTATGCAGTTACTTTTAGAGGTAGACTCAATTGATTTAGAAAATATTATAGCTACATTTAAATTACCTACAGTGGAGATTATCAAGATGGTTTGAAAATTGGTAAGTGGACTACTATGTTTAGAGAATATAGTGGGGACAAATTTAGAGAAATGTAAATATTTATTGCTTTATTATTTTAGTGGCGGTGGGTCTTATGATCTTAAAGGTGTGTAAAATGGTGGTTTGGATAGAATTATGTGATAGATTTTACAGGTGTTTATTTATCAATAATTTAAATAGGGATTATTAACTTATATTTTAAGGAGAATATCAGAATGGCTTAAAGTCAGGATTGTGGACCTCATAATTTAGATCGAGAATTAATGATGAATATGAAAGGATGTAATGATTATAACTTTTATAAAGTGGTGGAGGATAATATGATTTGCATGGAAGGAAAGAAGGTACATGGGTAGAGTTAGATGATTGCTTAAGTAGGTAGCTTATTTTAAGTTTTAATCAAAGAACTGTTTAAGTTATTTGTAAAGGTGAATATAAAAATAATAAAAAATATGGTAAATGGAGTACTAAATTCGAAGGAGAAATTATGTATCTAATAATATGCTGATAAAATAATTAGAGGAGGTGGTTTTTATAATTTAGAAGGAATGAAGGAAGGAAATTGGGTTGATTTGAGAGATAGGTTTTCGAGGTATATTTATGAATAATTATGATATCATTTATTCAGATATAATAACACCATTTATCAAGGTGAATACAAACAAGGTAGAAGAAGTGGTAAATGGACGATTGTGTAAATAGAAGAAACCAAATATGATGGTGAAACCTTTTAAAATAGGATTTAAATGTAAGAAACCAAAATAAAAATTAGTGGAGGTGGTTATTTTGATAATCATGGATTAAAGTAAATGGGAAGAATTGAGTAGCGATTATTATTTGTATTAATATTTAGTTAATATAATTACAAAGCGACAAGCAAGTTATATTCACTGGTCAATATTAAAAAGGTACAAAAAGAGGTATTTGGAATACTCTGTGGAAGGAGAGTTCTTTGTACCTTTCAAATTGGTGTAATGATTTGAATAAGAAATTAATTATAGAGGTTTCGGATTATTTGATGAAATTGGAATGAGAAATGGTAAATGGCTTGAATTAGGTGATGATTTTAGAAAGTATTCCTAAAGATTTATGAATAGTGGAAAATAACTCATTTAAAGTGGAGATTACAAAAATGGTTAGAAAAATGGTGAATGGGTCATAATGCTTATGGCTGGGAAGGGACGCA